CTGAAGCCATTCCCTGGACCAAGGAAAAGCCCGTCCGGGGGGAAGACAGTCTGTGCTCGTTCAGTTTGGAAGGACCTGTGTGATGGTCAAGTTCACAGCTGGGTAGTTAAGCTACAGGGAAGAGATTTAAGCTACAGGGAAAGGTTGTGACTGATCCCTGGATAGATAATAGAAACCACCAACCTTCCTAGGGAGTGTTATGTAATAACAGAAGGCTCCTGAGAGAACAGCAGGATATTTTATCTTTCCCTCGATTCAGGACTCTTCCAAACAATCAGTTTTCTAATTACATTCTGTGAACAGGTCATTAACAGCTTGGATAATATCCTCTTAATGCACGAACATTTCTATTACCAGCCACATAGTGTCCTGTTAGTTTTCACCAATGTTTGACTGTTTACAAAACTCACAACGAATATTTCCATTCCCCCAAATTAGTTCTGTGGGATGTTAGTAGGCAACGTGAGGAGAAAGTGTTCCAAGGTTGATAGATACATTTGGAAATCTTAGGTTTAGAAAATATTCAGTAGGGTTCTTTACTGTGATTTGTCAAAGCCTTAAATTTGCTATTCTGTTCTGGGACTCTCCAAGAGGGTGTTCCTGTGGTTTGTTTATACCTTTACTAAACCTTGGGCCATGTCTAGCTTTTTAGGGATACTGCTTTGAGGACTAGTGACCCCAGAACATTTTCATGCGATACTAACCTAAACGTAAAAGCTGTCCCAGAGTGCAACACGTAGTTCCAGAAATCGCATTATCGTTTTATCAGGAATTATGTTGTGTCCTTGCTGCACGTTACCAAATACGTTTCCCAAAGGCAAGTACATTGCTGATGGGAATATAAATTGTTAGAGACCTGTTCCACCATACACCCCTCAACGGTGGTAGTGAATTTAAATCTGATCTGATTTGGTTGTGTTTCTATGACTATGGAGAGAGACTCAGCTCTGTCCAAGTTATTGATTACTTGCTGCTGCTTTTGTGAGCACCTTCTCAGGTCTTTTTCTATCTGTTGGGATTTGCGGCTATTCTTATGAAGATAAGTGGTCTATGTTCATAATCGGATACTATTGCAGAATTTCATATATTTATGGCAGCCATTCTTGGTTTTCATTTGCTTTTTGGTGATGTTCTTTTTGAAAGTGTGAAACTTCTACATTTTTATGAATCAGTTCTCTAAAGCGTTTCTTTTTGTAGTTTTTTCACTGTTTTTAAGCTAAGAAAGTCCATAGATAAAATTTGAACCACTTAATAATAACTTGTTGGTTTTTTTATTGTTACTCACATTAACTCTTAACCCCTCTGGAATTTATATTTATCTCGCTGCCCTCCACACCAACACCCCCCCAAAAAAAAAACCACTTAAGTTTTACAGCACTGTTTTCTGAACAATTTTCCCTTTCAAAATTAATATATTATGCCTGTGCAGTCTTCAGTAATTTTTATGAAATAATAATTTATCTCCACTTCCTAAATTAGCAAATTGAGCTGAGTGAGAATTTGTTAGTGGTCAGTCACTTCGGCCAGTGTCCGCCTTAAGCTTATTTTGTGATATTAATGTAATAAAACCATGACACTTATAAACTGACTTACACTTAATTTGCTGCTGTGATAAAAATGTCCTCCCTTGAACTCATGGGAGAGGCCACTAGGAAGACGAGAAGACCAGCGTGTCTAAAGAAACTTGAAAATGACAATGAAGAAAGGAAAAGTTTGGTATTAATCGGTGACTAATAGAAGCAGCCACTTGACAGGCACTTTCAGCTTTAATTCTCCCCAACCGCTGGGCCGCTGAGAAAAAGCAGAGACTGGGAGCCGGCCGGCGGGCAGGCGGCTTGCGG